AACAGAGAGGACAGAAAGCTGCTTGGCACCGATAAGGAGAAACAGATTTTGAGTGAGTATATTTCAAGGTACAACGATAGGGCGGATTTAGTAGCAGTTCCTTCCAGAGAAGTACTGCCACCATACCTATTATTTCCGTCAAGCAGCAATGTGAGTTCCGATTTTGAAGGGTCACTTGATATTATGAAAAAAAAGGCCCGAACCAGCGTCTGTTGCCAATACGAGGCAATTGTTCGTTGCGAGGTTCTTATCCACTGAGTAGCACATCAAGTCAGCTGATCTTATAAATTTTTATTATTTCCCAAAAATTTAACTTTTCAATTAATAATAATGTGCCCGATATTTATGCCTGGTATCAAACTAGGGGATTCCCTGCACTATGAATACCAGGAATTCACTCCGGGGCACTAATCGGAATACACAGACCAGATAAGTTAAAAAGTTCATTTTCAAAATTGGTTTTACCTAGAATCGAAACCAAGACCGCTGCATGCAGCGTCCATAGTGGTAACCACTGAAGTCGTCAAAATTTTTTTGTCATAATTAATAATACAAAGATCCGGCTGGATTCGAACAAACATCTCTAGAAGATGTTCGTGCCAACACGCTATGCCAACTAAGCCACGGAACGAACCAGCTGACCTTACGATTGTTTCTATATGCTTGTTGCAGACTTTTGGTTTGGTTTTTGTTTTGGTGAGAAATCTATTTCTTCACTGAGCTAGGTACCTTTACACCTACCAGCAGCTGACTCGAGATGGCGCTTAATAATTGTAATTAAGTTGAACTTAGTTACTTAGAAGTTACTTAGAACTTAGTAGTTAGGTCGTGTGGTGCCGGCCTAGAATAGCACCACCCCCTTCTTATCCTGTGGGTGTCGTAAAAGGCGACTAAGGAAAAAATAGTCAGAAGAAGACGGGCAGCAGCGTCTTCTACCCATCTTGGCCACAACTGCGATCGCCAACCCGCCTGCCAAGCGTGGCGATTATGGCACAACCCCCCCTATGATACACACACCAAAGAATTGGCCCCTAGTCCCCGGCAGTCCTGCTCTTCCTAGTCACGATAGCGGCTTTGGAAACAGGGCATGGGGTGCGAAGAATCCCCGGGGGAGACCCAGCTATCATCAACGACGACGCTCAGTGGGTAGGCCCCCCACCAGGTGGACCGACGATCTGGTGGAGGTCGCGGGAAGCCGATGGATGCGGGCAGCGCAGGACCGATCGTCGTGGAGATCGTTGGGGGAGGCCTATGCCCAGCAGTGGGCGTCGTATGGCTGAATGATGTACTTAGTTACAATTTTCCTCATATTATTATTTAGCGTGATACGAATCGATGATGACTTGCGGAACGGGGAAGTGAAGGTCTGACGTTCCGAACAGCCCCTCAGACGCTGGCGTACAACGAGCTGGGCCAGGCGTGCTCGGCGGCGGGCGTGTGCGTGGAGCTGTTCGTGTGCAACAACGCCTACGTGGACGCCGCCACCATCGGCCAGCTGCCCAGGCTCACCGGTGGACAGCTGCACAAGTACACCTACTTCACGGTCAGTTTTTTCAATATATACCAGACACACGCTTGGCCACAATTGTACTAATGAATACCTGCCTTTCCATTTAGCCTTGAAAAGCCTTGAATTGTAGTTGTCGGCAAACGCGTGCATGTTTTAAGTCTGTGGAACCGTGGACCAATGACTCGGTCGTTGGATATTTAGTACCTGTTGGCACACCAGATGTCGCCACGAGTACCAAATACCAAATAGTAGTATACATATAGTAATATAGTAGTATACTATTTTTGTAACTAATTTGTTTTACATTGACAAGCTGCAATTTATCAAAGCTAGGTACTCTAATTTCTAGTGATAACAAACAAATCAACTAGATGTCACTCTTTATGGATTGGGCCGGCTATTATTTTGTTTAGGATTAGCGCCATCTACCCTTCTGTCATAATGTAAAAAATTGTGCGAGGTTTTTTCTATCACAACAACCTTATACTATGTCTAAGTTAGCAATAAACATTGCGCATACTTATTAATTGCAGTGCCGACCGATCAGTGTATTCCCAGTGGATTCGTTGTATTTCCTTCCTTCCTACTCTAGGGTATCGCTACTGACTAAATTTGTGATTGCGATTGGCAGGCGGAGCTGGACGGGCCGCGGCTGGTGGCGGACGTGCGGCGCGTGGCGGCGCGGGCCACGGCGCACGACGCCGTGATGCGCGTGCGCACCTCCACGGGCGTGCGCGCCACCGACTTCTACGGCCACTTCTTCATGTCCAACACCACCGACATCGAGCTGGCGGCCATCGGTGAGGCGCGGCCTTCTCTCGTCAGACTCGGTCCTAATATTTTCTCCGCTAAGTCGCGACTTTTCGCCGCCGCAGACGCCGATAAAGCAGTGGGCATAGAAATAAAGCACGACGACAAGTTGACGGCAGAAGACGGCGTGTACATCCAAGCGGCGCTGCTGTACACGCACCGCAACGGGCAGCGGCGCCTGCGAGTGCTGAACCTGGCGCTGAACGTGGCGCACCAGCTGGCCGACGTCTACCGCAGCACGGAGCTGGACACGCTCATCAACTTCCTCACCAGATCAGGTAGCACAATCGTAGCACAAACCAGGTTACTCTGGCGCACAACTTTAATTACCAGCATGTACCTTGAGAATCCAACTTTCTCTGTACCATGAATATCGAGTCCAGACAATGAATCGGTGACCCGACGGCTTATTCTGTGGGTGCTGGTTGAGGAGGTAGCGGGTCCGATTCCTGGTAGGACCAATATGGGAAAATGGATTTTTCTACGTTAGATGGGTAGTGTCCCATTTCTTATTACTCTCATATGTTGAACTGTATTAAAAATTTTCTCCTTACGTTTTTTCAATAATTTATGTATATCAATTTATTGGTTTTATTATTTCGCGCTCAATTTTTACATTGATAAAATTACTGTGTAGAACTGTCAAAATAATTTAAAATATATTTGCGGGCACGTTTGGCACGATTGTGCCAAACGTGGGCACGCAAGTGGCGATATTCTTTTACAGCCATTGATCTAGGCGCTCGCAATGCGACAAAACAACGTCACGGTTCTCGCTATGTTAGCTATTGTGATAAAATTTTTAAAGGACGGTTTTTGTCACTCGAATTTGACAGCTATACGTGGATATAATAGCTTTATCGCGACGGCATGCTACGGGAGTTGGTACTCATAGTACAAGGAATTCCTATTTTGAGACCTGGTAATTGGTGTGGCTGTCAAAAAAATTTAAAGTTGGTTTCAGGAAAGAGAAAACAAAAAGAAATTTAAATTGATACAAGGTTTTTTTTGGGGTAACATCGCTTGTCGCATGATGTTACATAGAAGCGCTTGGTTATTTCCCGTTTAATTGAGCTGAGTAAATAAAATTAAGAATGCAATATTTATCTTATTGAACCCTATATAAATCTGCAACAACCACTGTCTTAGAAAAATTCCTACAATCTGCTGACTCGATGCTGCCGATGTCAATAGAATTTGCAGAAACGTGCGGTTAGGACAATATACAATTTGGACTCCAGAGTATCTTTGGGAGATAAGTTTAAGGAAATTAACATTCTTACACTAGCGTCACAGTACATTTATGAAAATGTTAAGAGGAATAGTAATTTCTTTATGAAAAATAGTGACAGATATAACATTAATACGAGGAATAAAAATAAACTAGCTGTTCTTGATAGTCGTCTTCACAAAGTCACGAAATCACAAGATTCTAGTTGATATACAAAATTTGCCATTCACAGGGTTTAAAACTATAGTGAAACAAAAACTTTATACTAAAGGTATAATAATACAATTTCTGCGTACTTGGATAACAAAAATCCGTGGTAGTAACCCGTTTAGCTCTCGATCTCTGATGTTTGAAAAGAAAAAATATATGTTGTAAATGTTGAACGCGTACAAATGTTATTTACAAAGAGCAATCCCTAGAGGTCCTTGCTCATTCTTCGCAGGGGAATCTGCCTTACGAACCAGTAGTCGAGTTTAATCAATATGACGATTTCGTTTAATCTAAGAGATAAAGATTATTTTGATTTGATTTTGACGTGTAGCTCAGTTAGAAGAGCGATAGCCCGGGTTTGGCCAAGCCGCTGGTCGGAGTCCAGTCCGACCGAAGGATTTGTGTTGTTCGATCGCATCGACTAAAGCGGCTCCGTGCCCCCAGCGGTGTGGGGCCTGCGCGAGTACACGCCGCGGCAGATCCGCGAGGGGCTGTCGACGCGCTGCGCCAAGTCGCTGACGGCCTACCGCCGCCACTGCGCCTCGCCGTCGTCGGCCGGCCAGCTGGTGCTGCCCGAGTCCATGAAGCTGCTGCCGCTGTACACCAGCTGCATGCTGCGCTCCGACGCCATCGCGGGGGGTCAGTCTTTTCGCTTTAGCGTTGCTTTAACGAAAACGTCCACGGCTGGAAATAAACGTAGTTCATATGTTGAACAACAAATTTCATTAACATGTGTGCGGTTGTGGCGTACGCAAAACGATCACATTATTGTCATATTGCAATAAAATAAAATACTACGTAAATACTCATGTCTTATGTGTAGGTATATCGAGTTATTGCAGTGTGTATTCTTGTATTGCATAAACCCTTACAATATACATTCATATTAAATTATGTGTATAGTGTAAAAGTACATTTTCTATTGTTATTTATATGTTTTTTTTGTTGAATTTAAAGTTTAATTCGTAAAAAGAATTCTATTTGAGTTAATTTTTATTCAATGGTGAAATCATTTTAAATGTCGTTTTTTGTTTTTAGCTATATAATTTTATTTTATAATTCACGCTAAATAAAACTTCAAAAGATATTTCTAAACGAAAAACGCGATATGAGCCTTCGAATTATATTTTTCCAATTTTTTTGGAATTTTTGCGGGAAACATTTCAGTAAATGAAATTTGCCGGTAAATACAAGTGTGGTATTTACAAATACTGATATATCGTCTTCTAAGTTCAGATACTAGTTTCATTCTGGACTTCAGCAGGATCTTTTTGTTGAAACCTGTATTGTACAACATGCATGCATCTCAGGCCCCGACCTGACGTGTGACGACCGCTCGTGCGCGATGTACCGCGCGCTGACCGCCGACGTGGCCACGTCGGTCGTGTACACGTACCCGCGGCTGCTGCCGCTGCACCGCATCACCGAAATACAACCGCTGCCGCAGCTGAGAGCGTCGGTCGACAAGATGAACGACCAGGGCGTCTATTTATTAGGCAAGTTTATATTAGTACTCTGTAAAATTTAACCGCAAAAGTCTTGCAACTGTCTTCTTTGGTTTTCGTCTAAATATATGAAGAGGTGGTATGGTGGGACCTTTGTCTGCCCTTATAAATGAGTTAAAATTTATTTAAAAGAAATTGCGTTTGTTGTCATGGACGGTAATGGATTGTTAACAAAATGTTCTGTTCAATTATTTTATTTGTTCGTAGAAAAAGTATTGTATGCAATCGTTACATAATTAGGTCTTAAAATCTCGTTTCTATTACTTCCTGGCCTAAACACGGCACTCGACTGATTTTAAAGATCCTCATTATGCAATGATTACACAGAGTACTATTTATTATTAGAGACCATTTTAGGATTATAAAACATTGTGGTTTCATAAAAAAGCTGTTTAAAGGGTTATATAAAAAAAAAAGTCGTGTGGGTTTTTATCTTTTTTAATTGCCTCAATGGCCGGACGGTTACCAAGTTGGACTGTCACGCAGAGGTCCCGGGTTCGATTCCGAGATATTTGAATGGCCTACATTTATTTCTCTCGTTTGGGTGTGATTTGTGGTTGTTTATGTACTCGGAAACCGCAAGCAGCTCCGTGAGCGGCGGAGCTGCGGTTTGTGCCACACGAACGCTCCCTTGCAGAGAACGGCGTCCACATGCTGATGTGGATCGGCTCCGCGGCCAGCCCCGAGTTCGTGCGCGCCGTGTTCGGCGTGCCGTCGCCGCAGCAGGTGGACACGCAGGTGGGCGAGCTGCCGGCGCTGGACAACGCCGCCAGCGCCGCGGCGCGCGCGCTGGTGGCCGACGCGCGCCGCCGCCGCCGCGTGGCCATGCGCGTGAGTGCCCTTCCCTTCAGTGCACGTGGGGCGTCCGGATTGTCGAGTACCGCAAACGCGACGGTTGCGCTGCATTTGGGCGTGGTGCAGCTCGTTTACTCGACTCGTGATTTTTACACTATAGTGGAAGTAGTTGTCGTCGATACTCGGAAGGCACGTTTTCAAATAATATTCGTAAATTACGCGACAAAAAACTGATTGCAAAGATTTGTGCCATTTAACATGTCAATAGCGGTCGTTGACCCGACTTTTATCCTGAAGTCAGTCACTATTGGACGGCAACCGATCGCCGATCCCTATAAATCTGTAGCAATTTTGACAGTAACGTAATCAAAGACAGTCACGTAACTTAAAAAAATGTGACATTGAGGCGTATCACTTTATGAATTTATATGATGTCAGTATCACATTTTTATTCATAATACCGGTTTTAAATTTAGCTACTCGGATCGGATTTTGAAAATGACGAGTCTGTTTGTACGTTTATAAATTCTTTGAAAAATAAAGGCAAAATACCTAATTACTATATTTCACTACCCATCATCATCAAGGTGACCCCTACCACGATACACTAACGACAACACTTTCGTATCGTTTTCATAAATAACGTAGTAACAGTGGTAGTAAGAGGTGAATGACCGCTATTGACATTCTAAACGGCACTTTAGATTACATTATTTACTTATTAATTTCCATTTAACTTTACTAACTTTATCACATAACTCTTTGGTACGTATTCGACAAATCCAAATACGCCAGCTTAACCCTTCTGCATGCGTTTTCACTATCGTAGCTGGAGTATGTTCACCAATTCGACAAACGGGAGAACCAGTTCCGCCGGTGGCTGATCGAAGACCGCGGGATCGACGGCGCGCCGAGCTACGTCGACCATCTCCTTGAGACGCACAATACTGTGCGCAAAATGCTGTACGTCTATAGGCTTGGAATTTGGGGGACTGACTAATCGCTGACTTTCATCACCCGACCCACTGACTTGTACAGACTTTCTTTGTACGCCACGAGTCTACGTTACGCACGTTAACAAGGTAGCGCCCAAATGCGCGTGAGACTCCGACACTCGCACGCAATGTTAACGAAGAGCATCAAGTAGTCAAAATAAATGAAATAAAATCGTCTTCATTTGACGTGCAAAATATATTATAAAATATTAAATATTTTGCCATGGCCTGTCATAAAAATAGAACACCATATCATGTTATCAAGTATTAATTTCGCCGTGGTCATGGGTCCCCTTCAATGATCACAATTCGTAGCAGTTTCCTGACAAAATAATTCCCGTCCAGTTACGAAATGTTTAATGATTAAAAAAAATTTAGAAAAGACTAAAAAACGTTTAAAGACCAAAAATTAAGAAAAAATGAACTTATCTTGTGTTGTGTGGTTGGTTTACGCTTAAGCGCCATGAAAAAAAAAATGGTACATGTGTCCTGTTTTGTCATAGCGGGACATTGTTAAGTATTTTGGGGACACGAAGCTTAAAAGTGGGACTTTCCGCTCAAAGCGGGAGGTATGGTTACGTTAGTCATATGACAAAAAAGTTAGATACGGCAGTTATACTATGTCTAATAATTTATTTTACTTTTGACAAAAGCATGGCTATGAAGTTTCATAATTTTTGATAGTTATTGATACCATAGACAAAAAAATGCAATAATTCATAGACGCTGTTTTTTCTTTATTGTAGTGAAGTGCTGTTTAGCTCCCATATTTTATCGAGCCGATAGATTATGTAAAGATTATTGACGTCGGTTCGAATCCGGCCGGATCGAAGGAATTTTTTCTGAGTGTTCAATATTTGTATTAATAATTATAGCAGACTAGTGGAGTAATTTCACAAAAAATAATGGAATTACAATTCAATGAAAATTTAAAAAATGAGTGAAGTTGATTTCTCCATTGTATAGGTTTTGGTACCTGTCTAATAAATAATAATTAATATTAATAAATTAAAAATGTTTATAATAAATTCGAGCTGTTTATTAAAATGAATTGTTCTCCATATGCATTGGAATGATCACTTGAAACCCGGTCACATTTATGATTAAAACTTCGTCACAAATAAAGTCGATTATAATAAGAAATCGAATCGATAATGCATTAGGACTTCACTAATTGATTAGTACCTGAGCTTTCAAAACTAAAATAAATGACTGGACGGAGTATAGTGAAAGAGACAACTTTATGGTGCTAACTACGTGCGACGCAAACGCTGCACGTTTCTATGACCTTATCATTCATACACCATATCAACAGACGACTTGACTTACTGACCTGGATTAACAGGTGATTACCGCTTTGATTGGCTGGTGATATTCGTGTCATTAATGAAAATGATGAATGATTGACTTTATTATTTCTGACTCATGTGACTGCCTCAAATTATCTACGCGTAGAGCACCAAGAGTTTACTTGCAATAAGCTTTATAATGTATTTTTTATGATGTTGAGTGTTCGGACGTCGTGCGCCTGGTATTAAGTGACACGCCTTTCTATAATAGTTGCAGTGTCACTCAGTGCTTTAAATCATAAACTGCACTGTCAGTGCGCCCGTCACCCTGAGACATAAGTTGACAAGTCCCAGGTGCCTGTAATATCACGAGCACCTTTACCATTCAAAATTAGAACGTAGTAATGCCCACATTACTACTTGGCGGCAGAAATAAGGTGGCAGTACTTCCATGGACGAACTCCTTCAAAAGGAGCTCCATTGCTTCTAAAACTACTGACATGACTATAGTGACTATGTAAAGCTTTGACTAAATTATCTGGTGAATGTAACTTTGATATTGTAATGGCTATAGTTTGTTTCAATTCATTGTACAGTAAAAGTAAACAACCCGGTTTTGTTGAAATTCTAAAATAAGCACTCAATATATGGAATAAGTTGAAAGGGTTGTAACCCTAACCAGCCGAGAACAGGTTCACGGTAATGAAACGGGAAACTTTCGGTCCACAAAATTTATTAAAGAAGTAAAGTTTAAAGAAAGGGCTGTAACAATAAAAAGGTAAATGTTAAAAAACAGGTACAACAGTATAAAACACTCCCTACACTTTATTATTAAGGCACTTACCCCTAAATGGGCCGAGTAACTGAATTACAGATATAGGTACACGAAGGCTGTAGACTTATAAATTACATGATTTAACTTATGAAATGATTATAAACGTCGTAAAGAACCAAAATTAGCGATTATTCGCGATGGAATTTGGAACAGCTCCGACTGTTGTGGCGGTCGAGTTGGGAGTGACCGTGGTACGAAAACAAAATGAGAAAGTGAAGGAAGATGGAACAATTCAAATTTAAAATTTAAATACATGTAAAATAAAAAATGATAGGATACAAGCGGAGAGAGGCGATACAAAGAGGTGAGATGACAGTGTAAGGAGGTCACACCGTCACAAAGTAACACTTTATAAGAATAAGTATCGGAAGTGATCGGAATTGAGTGAGTTAATTTAACTGAACTGAAGAAGAATGTGGACATTCCCTTCTACAAATCCCAGGACTTTTCGGAACTGATTATATTTGAAAACGCATATTACTAATTGAAAGGACAGCCCTATATCTTTCCACATAGTTTTGATTATAGTGACCCTCCCTACCGACCCACAGGAATCTTATAGGTTCAGGTTCTGATCCCCGATCAGCCAGTGTACTCTGTCACCTGACTTCATCCGGTTCTCCGAGTGGCTAGTGCCTCGGGTTAGCCTCCCCGGGTGCACGTACTCTCCCTATTTTCCAGATAGGTACCGGAACTGTAGGCACGCTCACTTCCCGATTCCCGAAAAAACGACGTCTCTCCAGTTCCCAATAACCTAAGCGGCTGGAGGGACTGGAGGATATCTAATTTATCCTCTACTAGCCCTACGGGGTTAGTGCCGGAGATCCCAGTCGCAATGTCGTGCGACAATGTCCGGACATAGCTTCCAACTTAAAGGGCAACTCACGTGCCCCGCGCGTCTCCTCCCTTCAGACTCTCAACTAGACCGCTACTAAGACCCGCTAGCTGCTTACGAGATAAACGCCCCGGCCACACAACCCCAGCGAGTCCAAAGCAGTCATATCACTGGCGGAGGGCTTGGTCTCTCCGGAAAAACTTTTCTCTCGGGTCGGTAGACAGGGACATTAATTTGTGCATTGCATCATGCATTAATCTTGTGCATGCATCTCTTTTTGAAAAATATGCAAAATATAGAGATGAAATTACTGAACAAATTTTGTTTTGGGCTTACTGTTCTGAGAAGCCAGGAATTAGAGATATTCCAGTTTGAAGTTTTGGAGGTTATGTGTTACGTAATTGAATAAAATATATTCGTTGTATTATTATATCAAAATAAACTACAGAAACCTTAAACAGAGTTAATAGAAGTTGAATGGTGTCGTGACGTGATGGAAGTTCAGAGGAAATTATTTTGTATACGGTCAAAAGGCATGAAGATAAACCATAACAAAAAAAGAGAGGTAATTAATAACATACTACAGACTATTGCACTGGTAACTCGGACACAAATTATTTTTTTGTGGAACGCCATCTATCCCTGATTTTTGGGAACTTTTTTGTCAGTTTTACCATTTTCTCGCGTGGCATTTTGGACAAGAAATTATATTTTATTTTTTTGTAATAAAGTAGTTAATCTTCTATTAGCTTATTACGAATCGGTCGAATCAGTACATTTGATATTACGTGAACTAAATATGGACCATATCCATACGTAGGTACTGAAATTCCTTTTTTGGCGGCTAGATGTCGCTCAACGTTAAGAAACTGACAGTTGTAGATATTAGTTCGGTTACATGCGAATAGAGTTTCTTTTACATATGATTTTGTTTCCAGACTTAGACAGGCCGCTATTATAATTTGAAAAACCTAATGAATTTATTTTATTCTAACTTGTGATTAAGACGCTAAGGAATTATTTTAACTAAGATTTGCCATCGTTCTTTAAATTTACTTTTATTGGTCATGTAAGAAAAACCA